GGTGTAGTCGTAGGGGCATATTACTGGAGAGTCCCAAAAAAGGATGAAACAGGAGTAAAATTATCCTCTGTAACAGAATAGTTGTTTTTGGAAAATCCCTTCTGAACAAATTATTTACGATATTGATACTTATTTGGACATTCCAACCAAATTTGTAATTAGGATCTTTTTTTCTCCTAGACTCCATATCATTGACTTGACTTTTACATATCATCCTTATTATTTATCTTTGTTCCTGTTTAATTTCTCATTTCACTGCTTACCTTTGTAGTTGTGTGATGACATTAATAATGTTTGTAACTGAGATGAAATTTGAGCTATAAACACCTGGCTGTGACATTGTTGACATAATTTTGCTTTTTGATATGTTGGCGGCTTTCATTATGAGTTGACACCAGTTAGAGAACCATTGGAAAACAACCTGGGATTACTGGACAGCCAGCTGTTTCGTCAGCCTAGTTTGGGACGCTTCAGCAGTGCGCGCCAACCACCATAGTTCGAACCCAGGACCTTCTGGTTACAAGGCCAGCGAGCTCGTAGACCACTAAGCCACTGGGACCCGATCCAATGGCCAGTCCATGAATTCCAACTTCTGCCAATTCATGACATAGTGCGACCACTTTGCAATGTCTTCTTCGATGAGTTACTGCCTCACCTTCAACCTGCTGTACCCTACTGGTCACGGCTTCCCACCCACTTCACAGGTTCACTGCATGAATAGGGCCAGTTGCTAGTGTGCATTAGATTAATTTTCAAGTATTGGTTTCGTAAGGATTTCGTTTGATTGGTTGGAGGATTTCATTATGAGCTGACATCAGTTAGAGGGCATCAGTGACTAGTAGGGCACAGCAAGTTGAAGGTGAGGGAGTAACTCATCAAAGAAGACATTACGAAGTAGTCGTACTATGTCATGGATTGGCAGAAGTTAGAATTCATGGACTGGCCATTGGATCGGGTCCCAGTGGCTTAATGGTCTATGATCTCATAGGCCTTGTAACCAGAAGGTCCTGGGTTCGAATCCCGGTGGGTGCGTACTGATGAAGAGTCCCAAACTGGGACGAAACAGATGGCTGTCCAGTACTCCCAGGTTTTCCAATGGTTCTCTAACTAATGTCACCTCATGATGAAATCCTGTAACCAATCAAATCCCTACAAACCAACAATTGAAAGTATATAAGACAATTCAGTAACATTATCAGTTAGATAACCCAATACATAGATGGAAAACTTATCAGGGTTTTGAAAATATTGTCGAAAGAAGTAAAACAGTGCCCAAAAGGACACCCTTAACTAGTTGATAACGTTAAGGATTGTGGGTGGGGACAATAACGATATATGTCTGGTAGACAACGAAGACATTAACCATGGATTATGGCGATACATATCGATGGGGATGCCTTGATTAGTCCCCATATCAAAAGCACAGTATATGAAAGTGTCGTACAATAGCAAGGGCAACTTTGAAGATAAGTAATAATATAAGTTGTACTTCCATTACTTTAAATGAAATAAATTACAGCTGCATATTATAAATATCAAAAATACCTAAATTTTCGTAATAAAACGCCTAAAATATTATTATCGCTGACATGCAGTCTGATTGTTCCTTTCATTGCTCACGATATCAGATACACACTCGTTGCCCTGAAACACTTTTCCCCTTGAAATATTAGGAGTAACAAAGGATACACAATGACTTCACAGCATGTCAATTACATTAAAAACCTTAATCAACAGAGTTTAATCAGCATTTACAATCACGCTGAGGAAAACATACTTCACCGTGAGCCTACGACTGACGTTTTCCTGCAAGAAACTGTTCAACCAGAACGCGAAAGACAAGCTGTCGCATTGGGCCACCTCAACGTGCATATACCAGTTTACTTGCTCATGTGGAGCTGAGTACATCAGCCGTGCCATGCGCCGACTTGGAAAACGTGCTCGCGAATACTACCCAAGCCTGGCTCGTAAAAGGAGACCAAAACCGTGTATACAGTTCAGTGACAGAACATCTGGTCAACTCAGGACATTCAACGCCTTTCGAAAAATCCTTCAAAGTAATATACAAGATTCAATCAAACCTATCAAAGCGAGTGAAATCAAGACATTTGGGCATAGCTGAGGCGCCAGCTATCCAAAAACTCAAACCCACTCTTTGTATCCAAAAGAAATACGTCCAACCCCTGTCCCTGTCATGGCCATCATAAACAGGTAAATTTTTTAATAATGACCATCCCATCGCCTTTCTTATCTAAACTTCCTGTTCATTCATGTTATTTTAAGTTTTTCTTAATCCCTGTCTACACTACCATATTTTCATATCCACACTTCCTGTATATTTTGTCATTTTATCATTTCTACATATTTAATCCCTGATTGCATAAACAATTATTCATCACACTAGTTTCTTATCCAAACACCCTGTATATTTGTTATTTCTACATTTCTAACCCCCAATTGCACAATGTCAATCTTCTTAGTTATTATGCTACTTTGTTTAAGTTTAACCCATCCCCCTGTTTATTATGGCATTCTAATTCCTAATTGTAATTTTTATTAATTTGACCCTTAACCAGAAATTATTCTGGAACTTTCCCATCCATTTGATATAAATACACGAATGTACAGCCTAGTTGATGACTTCGTCGAAAAGAAAATTTTCTTCGTTGCAACTGTCATTTAAAATCACTCAACGAGGAAACACATCACCAGGTTATGACTAGTTGTTTTAATGGAATAATTTGTAGATACTTTTCCTACCTTGAATGGCAAATTACTATGTAGTTCTCAAGTTTTTATTCGGTTATGTGGATCTTTAATTCACATTTGTGATGTGTCATTGTTGATAAACACTTCTTCTAGTTTTTTTTACATGTTCTAATTCTGTTATTCAAGTTCGAAGTTATGTCCTGCTGAGGAACAACTAGGTGCTCTAAAGTTTGCTCCAGGTCTTACCTGGAGAAGATCTGCAAATACTTAAATGAAATTCATATTTAATTACCTTTATAGATTAGTAAGGAAATATTCTTTCAGGAAAATGACTTGATTTGAACGTGTTTGGAAGTGAAATTCAATAATACTGGATGAAGTTCCCTGGATTTATCGTAAGAAGCTGTGGCCAGTGGGGTTCACCAAGTCACACGTGAGGACAAATACTCGCCAATAACACTGGTTGGAGGTGGCGCTAAAAATCGCAAATTAATAGAAGTTAGCACTGATGGTCCACTGAATACCTTTCTAATGGTTAAACGGTCAACGGTCTCGCCTGGTAACATGGATGTCCTAAGTTCGATTCCTGGTGTAGTCGTAGGGGCATATTACTGGAGAGTCCCAAAAAAGGATGAAACAGGAGTCAAATTATCCTCTGTAACAGAATAGTTGTTTTTGGAAAATCCCTTCTGAACAAATTATTTACGATATTGATACTTATTTGGACATTCCAACCAACTTTGTAATTAGGATCCTTTTTTTCTCCTAGACTCCATATCATTGACTTGACTTTTACATATCATCCTTATTATTTATCTTTGTTCCTGTTTAATTTCTCATTTCACTGCTTACCTTTGTAGTTGTGTGATGACATTAATAATGTTTGTAACTGAGATGAAATTTGAGCTATAAACACCTGGCTGTGACATTGTTGACATAATTTTGCTTTTTGATATGTTGGCGGCTTTCATTATGAGTTGACACCAGTTAGAGAACCATTGGAAAACAACCTGGGATTACTGGACAGCCAGCTGTTTCGTCAGCCTAGTTTGGGACTCTTCAGCAGTACGCACCCACCACCAGGGTTCGAACCCAGGACCTTCTGGTTACAAGGTGAGCTAGCTTGTAGACCATTAAGCCACTGGGACCCGATCCAATGGCCAATCCATAAATTCCAACTTCTACCAATTCACGACATAGCGCGACCACTTTGCAATGTCTTCTTCGATGAGTATATACTGGTCACGGCTTCCCACCCACTTCACAGGTTCACTGCATGAATAGGGCCAGTCGCTAGTGTGCATTAGATTAATTTTCAAGTATTGGTTTCGTAAGGATTTCGTTTGATTGGTTGGAGGATTTCATTATGAGCTGACATCAGTTAGAGGGGATCAGTGACTAGTAGGGCACAGCAAGTTGAAGGTGAGGCAGTAACTCATCGAAGAAGACATTACGAAGTAGTCGTGCTATGTCATGAATTGGTAGAAGTTAGAATTCATGGGCTGACTTAATGGTCTACGATCTCATTGGCCTTGTAACCAGAAGGTCCTGGGTTAGATACCCGCGACGTGGGTGTGTACCGCTGAAGAGTTCCAATCCAGGACGAAACAGCTGTCCAGTACTTCCAGGCGGTTTTCCAATGGTTCTGTAACTTATATCAGATCATGATGAAATCCTCCAACTAATCAAACTAAATTCCCTATAAAACCAATACTCGAAAATTTTTACTACATTTTTATTATTATTAAATAGTACAGCTGATTTCATCACAAATAACCGTCTTTTAACTATGCGTAACTCAAGGAATTTCCGGTTAGCTATACAGTGGAAAGCATAGATTATTTTCATTTCATAACACGTGTTTTTTGGTCTCCACACTCTCCCTCCCTAAAGTCAGTTTGTGATCAATCGCAAAACAAGTAATAAAATCAAAATAGATTTTGCGTTGGTGGCACAGTGGTAGAATGCTCGCCAACAACGCCCCATGTAGTCCAGGGTTCGATCCCCGGCCACCGACGCACTCCTTTACCTCGCTAAACCAGTAATAAGACTGGTAAAGAGGGAAAGTTGGGCATGAGGCTGGCTATCAACCCCATCCCGTAAAAATAAAAAACACCACTGCTACCGAAACTTCAAGCCTCTAGTTTGAAGCCCTACTGGGAAAGTATAGGAATAAAAACAATTTTTTAAAAAAACACTTAAATTAAGTACAAGTTATTTCCTTATATTCCACATTTACTATAGAATTTATTACAATTATTCACAATTAAAAAGAAATACCAAACAATACAGAAGTAAACAATATCCCATCATGGGGGGAAAAATAAAACTTTGATTTAGTGCATTTTGAGAAATTAAATACAAAATTATTTATCGAAAGTTAACAGACTTCATAACTGGAATGATACAGTGAAAAATACTTCCTATCTAAATATGACTACGTGAACAGAATAGTCTAGAATAGAAGGTTGTATTAAATTGCCCACTTAATTCTCCCGCCATCTGTTCACTTTTCAATTTTTTCAATATCCAATACTCTAAACAATCATAGGCAAAATCATAAAATCCAAGATTGAATTTATTGGCAAAAAATTCTGGCCTCTGTGTAAATTCATGCAAGTGTTGTACACCAAATATGCATATTCCACGAACTAAACGTTTTGATGCACAATAATTCGGCCACCATAATTTATATCGTGCAACAAATAGTGATCGAGAATTTTTTGTATTCGATTGATGAATTTTAAGACATGCACCAGGAGCACCAAGTTGTGGATTATAAACAAGTGTACTGAAAAGCATTTCATCGGGTACTTTTAATAGAGGCTCTTCTTCTTTGAGTATACTTAATAATTCAAGGGAATGTTTATCATGCAGTATATAGTTAACCATATCTCGTCGTAGAACAGCGTGAAAACTTCCTTTTATCCATGTAACCTATTGAAAATAAATAAGGTTTTGTAAAATTCATTAGCATAAGATTAAATATTAGTTATTGTCTAAGACATATGTAATGTATTACACTTCAGGTAGTTCATTCTCTCAGCTTTACATCATTATCAGTCACTGCTCAAATTACATGCCTTTTACTTCAATATTTTTTTTATTCCTTCACGTTCCCAATGGAACATAGGGCTTCAAGCTAGAGGCCTGAAGTTTCTGTAGCAGTGTTTATTTTTACAGGATGGGGTTGCTAGCCTCATGCCCAACCTTTCCTCTTCTCCAATTAATGCTGGCTTAATGAGGTAAAGGGAAAGCGTCGGTGATCGGGGATTGAGGCGTTGTTGGCGAGCATCCTACCGCTGTACCACCGACGCACTTTCCTTAGTTTACCTGGACAACGCGTTCCCCGACAGGTGATCCATATCGGCGCCGTGCCTAGCGTGGACGCCCGATCAACATGAGCACTCATATGCCAGAACACCCGGTCCCGCAAAATTCCGCACCCTGGCCTCCAAGTAGCTAGATTACAGGCGTACACTATTGTCGATAATCTCTCAATTCCTCGTAGCACGATCTCCCCTATTTCCCCTAGGACGACCCACTCGTCGTTTACCATTCGAATTCAATTCGAGCAATGGCCTGCATTGCGCTCGACGTCATTCGATGGTCTCATTAAAGTATGCCAGGTCCATCTCCATTTTCCTATACATATTTGCTGAGCAATCGGATCTTGGTTGGTCTGTTCCCATAGTATCCTGTTACTAATTCTTTATGGCCATTTGATCTTCAATATGGAACCAACGAAGGCAACTGTTGATAAAAGTCAGTAACTGGCTGTTGGAAATCCTCCCCATGACACGCTGGCCCAGTTTTTGACCCGTATAGAAGAACTGACCGACTTCACATTTGTGTTGAAAATTCGAATCTTGTTCTTTATGCTGGCTGAGTGCAGTGCAGAAGATTTCCAGGCCGGTTGGTGTTGGTTGTTGTTGCTGTTGCTGCTGGTTGGTTGTCTTCATCCTCTCAGTCTTCTCTATGTTTACCTGGAGTCCTATCTTCGCTGCCTGCCTCTTCTGCCTGTTTTTTGGTTTTTGTCTGTGAGTTTTCGAGTTTGTGTCACACTAGACAAATATCATCTGCGAAATCCAGATCTTCTACAGTCTTCTCACTGCTGATCTGACGCATAATGCGGCCCACCACAATCAAGAATATCATAGGTGATAGGAGGTAGGCAGTCTTGCCTTGCCTTGCTCCTGTATTCACTTCGAACGCTTCGCTGAGTTTTCACTGTGTACATTTACCTAACAAAAACATTTTCATATTGTATACGTTTCGCAAGAAACCAACGAAATTAAATAGTAGTATCATATTATTCTGCTCAAACCGCTGGTTTAGCTCTAGCTTAGTAGAACATTAGCATTCCACTGTATCATATATCTCCGAAACAGTGCTGTTGTACAATCTTATCCAGAAAACAGCCTCAAAATAATAACATGTTTTCATTTTCATCTTTTTATTACTTGTCACATTTAATGTAAAATATTAATAATACTGTGCAACGGTAGTCCACTGGTAGAAAGCTCGTTAACCACACACGTGGTTAGGGTCAGATTCTCAACAGGCCCACTCCTAAACCTCGCCCAGCCGTCGGTAAACCTAGTAAAGAGGGAAGGTTGGACGTGAGGCTAGTACCTCCCCCGCCTGCCAGTAAAAAGAACACAACCATTAGCGAAACTTCAAAGCCCATTTTTGCAGCTCCCTGCTCCAGTCGGAATGTGAACGAATCATAAAAAAGTAATATTGCTATACATATGATAAATATGTGGTAAGTACTTGGTTCTTTATAGTGGTTTGTAGTTTTCTATAGTTTGGTTTGTAAGGGTTAGTTATGTTTTACGAGTTGATCACGGACTGATATCAGTTAGAGAACCATTGAAAACCAGGGAGTACTGGACAGCTGCTGTTTCATTCTAGTTTGGGAATCATCGGCAGTACGCACCCACTGGGATTCGAACCCAGGACCTTCCGGTTACAAGGCAAGCTCGTATACCATTCAGCCACTGGGACCCGACTTCTCAATGGCTCATGAATTCTAACTTCTACCAATTCGTGATTTAGCGCGACCCCAACCATTGTCGTTGGTGGGACATCCATCCACACACGTGACATCTAATTGGACCTCACTGGTCACGACTTCTCACTAGAACTCCAGGAAGCTCCAACCTGTAGCAAGTATCACTAGCGCGCATCAGATTAATTTTCTATAGTTTGGTTTGTAAGGGTTAGTTATTAAGTTTCGATAAAACACTAGGCAGAATATATTATTATTAAAACTCATTGAGTAAGTCCATAAAAATCTCACTTACTGGAAAACTTGGTTTCTTTTTAGGAATTCTATGCTTTGGTCCATTTCTAGCAGAGAATTGTACAACATTAGACATATTCAATGCTTTTAAAGCAGCAACCAATTCCCAATTTGTACGCAGTGGTAATTCTTTTCCATTAATATTAAATAAATACTTCCATTTAACATTTTGATTATTCAGTAGTATGTCAGCACAAATCAAAAAATTTTCAAGTACTGAATAATGTCCCCAGACGACTGGTATACTTCTGGCTCGACTGACAACTAGTACATTATTACCAAAACATTGAGATAATTCAACAATCTGTCGATAAAACCATTCTGGTGATTTTTTATCTACATGTATACAATAGAGATTGTGTGGTCGATAAATTAACCGTAATAACCTGGCTATCCTTCCAACATCTTCATAAACAGAGATGGAGAATGCAATTGGATAAGCTTTCTCCTCTTTATTGACTTTAATAGGTTGTTCAATTAATTCCTTGAAGTTTTTACACGATTTCATTCCATTCCACTGACGATAAAGATCTTTACTTGTTGAATGGGTCTTGAATTTTACAGCTACTGACTGAATTGGTGTTTGTTTTAAAAAGCTTTCACACATTTCAATCGAGTCACTTTTCATATTTTTATAAGCTGGTGTAATGTGATCATTATTTCGCCAATAGGTAAATACTACTAGTAAAAATAATGTTGTTGTGATGGTTAGAAAGATGCTGAAAGCGTTGTCTCTTATAATAGAGTGAAATTGTCGAATAATGAAGAATTTTCTTGATTTTCTTTGTATGTATGATATCATTTTTGAGTATATTGTACTGCTATTTTTTTTTTCTTGACAGATTCAAACTGAAGAACAAAATTCATTGAATATTTAGTTTAGATACATTTTTTTAAAATGTAAGTAACTGTGTACTGCTTATTAGTGATTGACGTGAAAAAGAATCTTGTATGGCTGGTTCCCTTGATAAATTTCGATAAAGAAAGGAAGACGAAATTTGCAGTATAAAATGATATCATCATTCTATTTCACAGGTTCTCATCAGCTGCAGACTACCTGAAATTACAATGGTTATATAAATGATAATAACATACTTTAATGTTTGAGTAGTAGTAAGAAGAGAAGAGATAAAATTGACGCATCCAAAAAAGAATGAAAGCATTACAATTTTTAGTTTAAGTTATCATCATCAATTTATACACTTTCAAAGTTGAAAAGAGGGGGGAGATTTCTAAGTCCTTCAAAATATCAAATAAACAAAGGACAGCAAATTTACTACCATTTGCCGAAGCGATCGCAATCAAACGATTCAAACCAGACTTATGCATACAGAAAGAGAGTGTGATTAACCTCTCACTCCCTTGGTAACTGAATTTTGATTTTGATTACATCAATTAGTCTTCTAATTCAGTGATCTCAACTCACTGAGCAAATCTCAATCTTATAAACTGTAAATGCTTATGTTTTTTGGAGCTGCCATGTGAACCTACAGGCTAACACTGTTTCTGTTAATCAATTTTTCTGTTTTCTGTCTTACCCCTGTCCCCTCTTTTCAACTTTGAAAGTGTATAAATTGATGATGATAACTTAAACTAAAAATTGTAATGCTTTCATTCTTTTTTGGATGCATCAATTTTATCTCTTCTCTACTACTACTACTCAAACATTAAAGTATGTTATTATCATTTATATAACCATTGTAATTTCAGGTAGTCTGCAGCTGATGAGAACCTGTGAAACAGAATGATGATATCATTTTATACTGCAAATTTCGTCTTCTTTTCTTTATCGAAATCTTGTATGGTTTTAATTTTGCTTGATAGTTAGAGGTAATCGGCAGGAAGCCTTGGATGTGCTTGTTGGCGGTTGCCTGCAAGGCGCGTGTGAAAGAATTCATGTTTTCCAAGAGGTTTGAACCCATATCCCCCAGTGCTGTAATCAGAGAAGTTACAACTGAGCTATTCGAATCTTGATTGGTCTCAAGGGAGTGGTGAGTGCCACTAGTCTACTCCTTAGTGTATGGGGCAAACTGAATTTACCAATTTGAATGTACGTGTGAACACATATACATAGGGAGAACTCATCGATCTCTACAAGTGAAGGCTGGCTTCAGAGCATATTCCTAAATGGCTCTAAAAACAGAACCCATTAATGGTGAGAACAGGAGACCTAGCTCCTCTATTGCGAAACATATTATAGAGACAGGACATAAAGTTGACGTTAACAGATCTTTTAAACCTATCTATAAAACGTGTTTGCGGGAGGGCGTATCCTAAAGTTTGTGGAAGCCCTAGCAATTAGGAAGTTTAAACCACCTTTATGCGTTCAACAACAATTCGTCATCACATTAAACCTTCCTTGGTAAAAATTTTGTTTTGATACCATAGCAGATGTACTATTACCTCTGTTATTTGGTTTAGTGGTCTTCATTGTTACTTTGACCTTGAATATGTCCTTTAAACTTGACCTAAGTAGTCTATTTTCTCACTTCTTACCTCTTTATCAATTTCATATATATTCCTATGACAAGTCCATGTATGATCAGATTGTTCGAACTGTGTTGCGCAAATACATTACACGATTCCGAACAAATTATGTCTTCTTATTCCTTTATCTGAATTCCGTTAGTCAAGTTTGAGACGCGGTTTGAATCTCAGAGGCGACATCATTTCCTTTGATGTTGCAGATATGCCTTCTTAACTGGTGCTAAAAAGCAGGAAACCAAGGTCCACTGCTTCCTGCCAAATGTTCCCAACAGTCTAACATCAATTCAGAGTGGACAGTGATGAAGAGCCACCTACCTTGCTGACTACAATGCGAATTCGACTGATAGGATTCAGCCTGTGCCAACATTAAGGATTAGTTGTATGACATTGGTCATTCCCTAATCACCAGTCAACACATGGTTTTAATTTAAATCTGTGATCTGTGATTATTAAGGCAAGATGAGTAGCAAAAATATGAAATTTACCCTAGGAATGTCGTATAATGATCACTTTGTTTTATGAACTGAAGGAGACTGAAATATATACAGACCAGTGGATCTCAGCATTTTAAGTGAAAGTTCACCCCATAAGACTCATGATCTGGTGATCATTTGCCTGACTACTGGTGTTTAATTGTTTTTTCTTTGTTTTAACTAACAGATTTTTGCGGTCCTTTCACAAAGTTTTCAGTTTAAAGTCAAGTTGTAATTGTCATAGACGAAGAATTTACAAAGTTAAAAGTTTTTCTTCTTTTCGTTCACGTGGATTATATGGAGCAATGAAATGCATTCTGCACTACAAATCGATTATAAGAATCATTTTTCACTATGTTAAATGTTCTCAATTCGTTAATCCTAATTTTGTGGATGATTATAGTTTCATGTCGGACAAACTCAAAGATATACAATCAAAAACTAATAGTTTGGCCCAAGAGGCAGGATTTCAGGTGAACATAGAGACGAAATAGGTGACGAAGATTCTGGACGAATATTATCAAAACATAGTTATCATTAATGGGATAAATCTAAAGGAAATCGTTTGATTCCCTTACCTGACTTGGGAAGCATCGTTTCAACGGGATAGGATCATGGAAAGCAAAACAAGTGTTTGTTATAGGATTTTCATCATGAGCTGACATTAGTTAGAGAAGCATTGGAAACCACCTGGGAGTACTGGACAGCTGTTTCGTCCTAGTTTGGGACTCTTCATCAGTACGCACCTACCGGGATTCGAACCCAGGACCTTCTGGTTACAAGGTGAGCTAGCTCGTTTACCACTAAGCCAATGGGACCCGATCCAATGGCCAGTCCATGAATTCTAACTTCTGCCAATTCACGACATAGCGTGACCGCTGGCCAATATCTTCGGCGAGTATTTGTCCTCACACCCGACCTGCTGCACCCTACTGGTCACGACTTCTCACTAGAACCCCAGGTAACTACCTACCTGAATAGGGCAAGTGTTTGTTACTCTGAATTCACTATGAAGACCCACAGCACTTGACACAAGGAACAAGATCCGAATTTTCAACACTAATGCCACGTCAACGCTTCTATATGGTTCAGAGACAAGGCATGCGCGTCACTGCAGGCATTTGTAACAACCTGCTGCTTACTTCCACAATTATCTTCCTCTGCTGCCTAGATACTGAAGACCAGATAAGCAACAGGAAACCCTGACAGTCAGTGAATCAGCCAACAACCTATCGCACAAGAAATATACACGGGGGAAATGGAAATAAATTGAACAGATGCTGAGGCGACTACTTGCGAGACAGGACTTCGAATGAAACCCGCGTGAAAAGCACAGAGAGTTAGGCATGAATTCAAGGGTGACGTGATGGAGATCATGTGCAGAGCATAAGCATGGAAACATTTGCCGAACCCAGTAGAGATATGCCACTGAGATCCTTGGTTCCAGTTGAAATACAAAGAATTATCAGGAAGAAGAGGATAGTGTCTATGAAAAATTGTTAAAGTGTATGCAGAGTCTTAGTACTGTATGTGGAATGTCTTCAATCTTTAATTGATGTCTAGTAAACTAGTTGGATTATTTGATCAATTTAATGAAATTGCGACCCCAGTTTGATTTTAATCATTGAAGATGCGCGTCATATTATTTAACGAAAATGAACGTTTGAAAATTTCTTAGTAGATTTTTCAATAAATGAACAGTTTCATACAATAAATAATGTAGGAACGTATTCTAACGTATCACTTCAGAGCAAACTCCTAAATTACCACAATAACGGTAGTAATAATAATAATAAAACAGTATCATGGAACAGAGATCTCTGAGAGCGAACGGACCAGGAACCGATTGTGAAATAAATAGGCAGGAAGAAATGGAGATGGATTGGCCATACTCTGAGAAAAAAACCATCAAGTGACATCAATAGACAAGCCATTGCTCGAGTGGAACCCGAAAGGGAAGCGGCGAGTTGGTCGTCAGTGCAAGGGTGACTTGGAGGAGGTCATGTGAAGAGGAGATGAAAACGTGTGGACAGACTTGGAACCAGATAAAGACTCTAGCAGAGAACCGAACGCAATGGAGACGCACGGCTGAAGCCCTATGTTCCTCTAGGAATTAAAGGAAACAATGATAATAATAATGGAAACTAACCTCGCTGCACCATAGGACTATTAGTGAGCATCTTACTGGTCGTTTATCTGGCTATTAGATAGTCGGTCCGTAGTTATATAATTTGAATCCTTATTGACGGATTTTCAGCCTCAGTCGTAGTTGCACACAACACGTTATAACACTTGGGCACTGTGGTAGAGCATAACTCCATTATAGATAAGATTTTATTTTGATAAATCACATAGTCTGTTATACAGTAATATTAACTGATGACCACGTTTCGAGCACAATTTATTGCCATTCATAATCATATCAAGTCACTCACACAACTTTTTACTTCATTTATATTATTATTGTTCCCTTGGGTTCCTAGTGGAACATAGGGCTTCAACTGCACGTCTCCACTTACTTCTGTCTTCTGCTGTACTTTTCACCTGTATCCATGCTGGTCCATACTGTTTCAACTCTTCTTCACACGATCTCCTCCCTGTCACCCTTGAACGTCTTACTCGCCGCTTCCCTTTCGAGTTACACTCGAGCTTTGGCCTAACGCGCGATGTCACTTAGCGGCCTCCTCAGCGATTGTCCGATCCATCTCCAATTTCTCC